ACGGTGGCCCTCTTTCCCCCAAAAGATGGGTTGGCAGGACACAGCAGCCTGTTTCCGTTTCTTTTCACCCATTGACTACTCAATGCTGCCCCACACCAAGCATCCACAGACACAAGCCACTCCCGATCTGCTGCACATCACATTGCCGACGGCTGCACACCCAGCCTTAGCACCTCGCCGGCTGCACAGATGAGCAATGGAAGTGCCTCAAGACAGATAAATACCACAGGACACCCCACTGTCCCCGTCTCCCTCCGAAGCACCGACTTCGTGATGCAGAAACACTCACCGCTGCTCAGGCACAGCACCCGAGCCTCTGACCACCCGAGGACCACTAACAACCACTCAGTGCGTTCCCAAACCTGTATTTTCTCCAGGTTGCAACTACACGCACATAACTCCTCTTGCAACTAAAAAAAAAAACCAAACACCAACAAAAAACCCCGTCGGGGCCACAGGATAAGCCATGCCCAAGCCCTGCCAGAAGCCACGCACGTGAGCCAGCACCCCAGGGAAACCCCAAGGCTGGAACAGCACGGAAGCAAACCAGCCTGCACAACCCTCCCCAAGGTGATGGGCTGTTCTCCAGCACAGCCATAAAAGCCACCAAGCCATAGCCAGGAGCTCTTTTACACCCATTATCTCCGTATCAGCGGTAGCAAGTAGGAGGAAGGAAGGAAAACATAAAGCTGGCGGTGGTGCTGGCACGCAGCTGTGCCGTCCGCCCATCGCTGCTCACCTCCAACGGCGCTCAGGGAGCAAGATGCATTGCAGAGGGCTGAGCACACGTGCAAAAGGGTCCTGTAACACCAGGGAAGCCCAGAGCGGCAGAGGGGGCCTCCATAAACGCAAGCAGCTTTGCTCAAGCTAAAGCTTCAGGAGCTTGCTACCACGTTAAGCCCAAGCACAGAGAGAAACGCAACCCCCAGAGGAGCTCTTCCTTACAGACCTACCCCTAAAAATAATACAGAAAAAACCCCCACCATACCTTTCTTGGTGGAAAAAGAGCAGCAGCACCGTCAGGGCCTTCTTTGCAGCTCAGTTTTCCATTCTGCAACCCCCCCCCCAGTTCAACAAAGCATTACCCCAAAAGGCAGCTTAGCACCAAGCTGCTTCCCAAACAAGACGAGCCAAGTCCTCAGAGAAAGTGGGAAAACACAAGCTGGGAGGGCTGCAGCTGGAGGGAGATGGGAGGAAATGTGGTCCAGCTGAAACATACCTGCTGAGAGGCTGAAGGTGCCTTTTCCCATGGAGCTTAAAGGACCAGCAAAGAGTAAAGGCCATGGAGAAAGGTTTCGAATGAAAAGGGCAGCTGGTACTAAAGCACCTGCCAGCCAGCCAGCCAAACAAGTTGTAGGCACATGAAATGGTTGAGGAAAGGGTTTTTCCAGCCTTTTAAACCATCCCCACGATAAAAATGAGGATGAAATTGTGACAAGTGGCTGGGAACAACAACAGCCCGTGGAGGGGGTACCCAGAGAAAGGATGGCCAACTCCCCCCAGATCACAGAGCTGGTCGCTCACGTGCCGTGCGTGCTAAAAATCACTGCAGGCATGAACGGATGTGACTCCATTACAGTTCCTTAGCTGCACACTGCTGAGATGTGGAGGAGTATTATGGGATTGCACCAGCACATGCCTGCCCTCCTCTTCCTCCCAGGGAGAGACTGGGGGGGAGGCAGATCTGTGTCCGACCCGCTCCAGCCCCTCTAATATTCTCAAGCTAAACCTTGAACTGAATTTTATTTCTTTTTTTTTTTTTTCCCTTCTTTTTCTTTTTTCTCAGCTGTAACTGCAACATCCTCTCCCTGAAGGTTCATCACCAGCCTCGGCGTTAATGAAAAAATGTGATAATGTTTGCCTACTTCCTGGGGGTGGTAGGAGGCACAATCTAATTAAAGGTTTGCCAGCAGCTCAAGTGCTGCAGATGGATGGTTGTTCGGGAAGTGCAAAGTATTATTATTATTATTACAAATGCTAACACCAGCTTTCATAAACAGGCAACAGAGGAGGTGAAGCAGGTGGTATAAGCGTCGGCAGGGCTTGTTCTGCTGCCTACACCGTGATTTCAGCCTTACATAAATGTGGCCATGAAGGGTGGCGGCGGTAGATCCTATCTCTGCCCGAGAAATGAGTGGCTCGCGGATGGGGCTCTTGATGAAGGACTTGTCTTTCTAGCTGGAGGAAGAGCCAGCTGCCCAGATATTTGGCTGCTTTGGCCAAGGGGGGGTGGGTGTTGTCTGGGTTCCTTTGTAAGAGCAGGTTAGATATTCCTGTCGGGAGGATCAGCAGCTCCTTCCTGCCTCGGATGGGCAGGTCACTTATTTCAGGAACACCGGCAGCCCCCACCCTTGAGCACCACCACCAGCCTGCAGTTAACACAAGGCAAAACCCACCCCAAGACATCATTTGGGGCAGCAGACTCCTTTCAAAGCCAGCTGTGGATACGGCTACAAATATACCCCATGTCCAGTCCAGGTGCACGGCCAGTGGGTCCAGCACAAAGACACTAGCTGATAATTCAATGTATATGGTGACAAGCGTGTTTCCAGGACAACTGGTTGATATTAAGGTTGTTGATAAAAGCAATACTCTCTTTAGGACTGTCCTGGTGTACCTACCACATAAGAAATAAATGTGAGGAATGGCTTGTGCACCTCGCTATATAACAAACCACCTCTGGACCACCCAGCAACCTTCACGCTCTTGTTTGGTCTCTAAGATATTTACAAACGTGTTTTTTTAGCTAAACCAAAAATCCTTAATTCTCATCAAGAAATATACACCATTTGTATTTTTTTTACTTAATCACAGGCTGTATCTCTCCTCCTTCGCTGACCTTCATACCTCGGGAAAGAATGCGTTCCAGAGTTTGAAAACAAATTAGCGAGCCCTATACTGACAGTCCTGGGATGTTTGTAGGACCAGGGAGTTAATGAGGCAGACAAACTATTCCAGACACCGGGTGCTACCGAGGCACAAAGTGTTTTGTGGCCACATAGTGACAAGGGACAAAGAAAACCTTGGGGTGAAGGAGACAGCAACTTGATTAAGAGCAGCAGAGAGCGCAGTGAAGAATTAAATAAACCCTCTCCCGCCTTCAAAAGCAAGGAGTGCTTTTAAAAACCAAGGTCAGCTTCAATCTGTGTGCCCTCGGATGGAAATAACCTCTGACTTTTGGGGGGGGATAGGAAGGGGGAGGGTGGCTGCAAGGTGACTGCAACCTCAGCCAGCCTGGAGCACGTTCCTGCACGTCCAGCACCAGCTTTGCCACCTGGTACTGCCCTCATGTGGTTATTGCATGGGAATAGTGATGTTCGTTTTCCAAAAGAAAATAATTCAGAGCACCGCCACTGTTCATTTAAGCTGATTTCTGTTCTGCAGCACTCTAGGTAACTCGGTTTGTCACCTTACAAATAGGGTTTTCTCTGTGCATTAGGCGACGGCAGCCTGCAAAACGCTCTCGCTGGGTTGTGTCTCATGGCAGCAGCAAGAGGAATTCGTGTGGTTTAGAAAAACTCGTCCACTTGGCAGGGAAAAAAAAAAAAAAAAAAGTATCTGCAAAATGCAGGTCATGTCCAGCAGTTACGACTCATGAGACTTAATTGCATGGTGTTTATCAGATGGATTTACAGAGATGTATTGCTCCGCTGCTTAATTCTCTTCACACCGAGCCTGTTTGCACCTCCCGATATCCCGATAGCCCTGCGAAACAAACCGGCTCAGTGGTGGCAATATAGGAAAGCTGGTGTTCAAGGAAAGCTAGTTAGTCTATATAAGCAATAAAATCCAGGCTGTAGCCCCCTTAGTCTGCAACAGGCTCTTTGCAGGAGGGGAAAGGGTGTTATAAGATGAGGTTTGGGGTCTCTGGGTGTGAGCACGCAGTCACAAATGCTCGGACCTGCCAGCTTTTCCACTGTCATGAGCGTGAGCACAAAAATCAGCTGCCGTCCATCGCCCCCCCTGACGTCATGCAGCAGCGAGAAGACTCCAGTACGGAGCATCCTTCCAGCCCCAGGGTTTGAGTCATGAACAGTTACAATTCAGCTTGTGCTGATGGGTTTTTATATATATATATATTTTTTTTTTTTTATTTTTTTTAGTCCCCACGCTCACTACTGGCACATTTTCCTCCTATCTAGGAGGTGGCATTTCCAGTCACTTTTTGCAAGACATTAGCTGGCAAAGGCAGGCTAAAACCAAAACATGTGCCAGTTTCTTCTCACTTTCCAAGCCAAGGGGTTTATTTTCAAGGAAAACTGTGACGCTTTATGAATCCCTGCTGCTTAGCCATGTATCTGACAGCCCTTCAGGCTTTACAGGTCTGAGGGATGGATTTGTCTAAGCTGTTATTACACACTCTACACTTTATCAGACTTAAATTTAAAGATATCAGCTCAGTGAGGATTTTTAATTCGCATTTATTCACTCTTTCAGCCTTTAAGTGAACATGAAAACTATTAACAAAACCCCTCTTTAGTTCAAAGCTTCAGTAATAAAATTTTCATTGTGCACAATCAAGCGGTGATGTTACAAATTTGACATAATCTCACTTTCAGCACTCTTATTCTTCCTCCTTGGGATGATGCCCCGGTCCAGAGGTACACGACCTCAAGCCTGAAGGTTTCCCTGACTTCAATCCCAGCAGGTCAAAGCCTCCAGGCGCTTGGAAAAGTCAGCTGGCCGAAGGATGCCCTCCATCACTATGGAAACACGCACGGGAACCCATCAGATGAAGCGGCCTCATCATGTTGAATTTCGGCACTTAATTTTGTTGCTAAAATTTGCTGCAAGCAGTGCTCGTTTCAGAAATGGTGATATTTGGGGACGGATGGAGGGCAGCTACCACCCAGCAGCAGAACACTTCCCAGCAGCAGAGCGGTGGTGCCTCTCTTTGTTCTTCCCAAACATAAATATTTCATTAGATTTTTTTTTAGGTTTTTTTTTTTCTTCTAGAAAACAGATTCTTCACGTATTTGCAGAAGGAGATTGCACCCTCTTCACTCTTCATCAGAGCCATTCAAGAAGGCAGCTTGGGAGCTGGTGTCACACTTTTGCTGCCGGATTCCGAGCCCGATGTAGGGCTCTCCGCTGCCTCTCCTGCACCTCTGGATGCAGCTGGAACACACGAGGAATAAATCACCACTAGCAAAACCCCCAGACTACTGCCACTCACCAGACCACTTAGGGGAGGGAAGCGCACTTGTAATGAACACACAGCGGGGGAGAAACTGTTACAGAGGCTCTAAAATGCTGAGGTTTGGGGATGCGAGCATCCCGCAGTGTCTCATAGGGTGCGGAAGCATCCCTGAAATTGGGGTAATGTCTCCTTCCTGCCTCCTCGGAAAAGCCATGCCAGGGACTGGCGATGTCTTAGCAATCAGACAATGCTGTTGTGCCTCTAATAACTCAGCGACTGTCAACTGTTTCAAAATCCTTGCAAGGGAGGGGACAAAGTGTCAGGGGGTCCTGGTAATGCTTTGATTTCTCTATTGAATTAAAGTTTGACTTCCAGCACCCCAGTACAGAGTAAAAAAATTTCTGCGAGTTCCAGGAGCAGCTTCGGGTGCTCGGCTATTTGACTTGTCGCATTTAATGCCTGTGCCTCTTGCTGACACTATTTTGCATTCTGTGCACTCAACAAATAACGTGCACGCTTGTCGCCGTGCCCTAAAACTTGCAGCAGTCAGGGGCTGCTTATTCAGCTCTGACTTTGTACTCCAGGATCGGATGGAGTACATCTGCACCTTGCTCCACACATCCCCATCCCTATCTGCCCACCCCGCTCCTGCCCGAATTCATACCCTAGCCGTACCAGTAAGCGAGAGTGTAATTTATAGCCAGGATGGCCACAGCGGCTGCCCAGTGCCAGAAGAAACACATGGTGAGGAACATAACGTTGTTGTGGTCCTTCTCATCCCACATTGGACCTCCCCATGGCTGGAACAGTACGACCCCGATCTGGTGGAACAAACAATTTATTACCTTGGGGGGGTTGAAAAAAATTGATGGACTGAAGACCTCCAGCACCCTTCTGTCCATCTCAGTTATCATCATGATCTACGTGGTGACCGAAGGACTTGAGCCTTGACCAGGATAGTGATTTTTGCTGAGACAGTGCTGGCCTCATTGAATTCCAGCACAATATCCAGACACAATTGTCCCTCTGCATTGCAGACTCCTAGCCATCCTTTAAAAACTCCAAATTTAGTATTTGACAAGCTCAGCCCAGTTTTTAACCTCTGAATAAAGCGTTGGAGTTAGCGCAGCAGACCTGGGGCTGAGAAAGAGGAGGACAACTCACTTTTCTTTTCGGCAGCCTAGTTTTGGGAGTGGTTCTTTCCAGCTGATTTCTTTGCTTCTCCGACTCCTACCAAAGCAAGCAGCTGGCCGTATTTTTACTCAGCCATTTTATGGCTTGGTGGGGTTTGCATCTTTCCACTAAACCAGAGGGAGTGCTGCAGGGTGCATTAGACACATTAAGCAATTAGTACTTGGTTGTTAGATACTGTAAAACGTTGCTCGCTCACTGCGAGCGCTCACTTTTTCTGTTCCCCCCAGAGAAGCAATAAGCCAAGACAAACAGTTATTAAAAAAGTCATCAGAGATGACCTGTGATAAGTAAATTTTCATTCTGGGTTATGATCTATTTATGAAGCGAGCCTGGCAAAATTATCCTGCAGAGACACACAATTGATACGTGATGTACGGCTTCTTGTCCTCTTTTCCCATTGCTCTTCCACCTCAGAGCTCTGCTCTGCAAGAGAAGGTAGAACAGACCTGCCAGAACCACGTTCCCTGGACGATGGTGACACCGGCTCTGAACATCTCCAGGACAATGTTGTCGCGGAGGAAGACCTCCAGCATGATGCTGCAGGCCCCTGAAAAGATGGCGATGAGCAGCAGGGAGTGGATATGCTGATCCAGCATCGGGCGGTGAAGGACGTGGTAATAAAAGAGACAACCTGCCAAAAAACGTACCACACTTAGAGGAGCGTCACCACCAACAACCATGACCACAGAGCCCTGGTAGAGTAAATCGCCTGCCCGGTTGGTGAATTGAGACAGGTCACCATGAAAACAAGGGACTGCACATAGTAGCATCCCTCCAGGTCTCCTGGCATCCCACCATCCTGGAGGGATGAGATGCCCAACCTTTGGGCAGGAGGATCTGAGCGAGATGGGGACCAAAGGCAGAAGACCACAGAAGGGTGGTTTTCTTGCCATGTTGGTGCTGTCACCTCTTCAGATCACCCTCCCCTCATAGCCAGGTTCCTGCTGTGTCCTGCTTTTCCATTGCTAAACCTCACCATTTTCTTAGGAGCTGGAAATGATAGATTTCCTTTTCTTCCATCCCAAACTGTACCTGATGAGCTGCCCCTGCCGCTGCTTCAAAAACCACTGGGATCGGGGAAGGGAAAATACAAGAGATGTGCCTTCATTAAGTGGTCTTCTATATAAGCAAGACCTTCATTTCCTAGTGTCTTTTCTCTGTGTGTCCAAGAGGGGTCTGAAATCCCAGCTCGCGACTTGCAAGACAGCCTGAAGACAAAACGGTATTCATGATGTGCTGAAGCTGGAATAAGGCACTTGAATTTGCCACGTGCAACGCAAGCAGATGAGGACGACGATGCCTGCAGTGCAATTAATGGCTCTCGGAGGGTGTGGGGGGTGGACTGCGGGGCATGTGAACAGCTCCGTAGATGTGAGATAAATGTAGCATCCACCAGCCATTTATCATAACGAGGAAACTCAGCCTGCCACTGTACCAATGTCACCCCAGAAATCCCAAACCAGGCAAAGCCAGGACCTATCAATGCCTGTATTTCCCATCTTGCTACAGACCGCCCTTTGATAATATATCACCTACAACGTGTCCTGTCTTCAGGGGCGTTCAGAGCGATATCTCAGTCTGGCAAATTTTGGTCCCTCTCTGACTCACCCTCCAACATCACTCCCCGAATTAAGTGCCACCTTCCACCAACCTTCAACGAAGACAGCCACGGACAGCATGAGGCGATCCAGACCCAGCGGCACCACCTGGGAGATGTAGGTGAAGACGTCCACCACCCCGGAGAGGCCGTAGAAGAGGTACATGGTGGTGTGCTGCCAGTTCATCAGCTTCACCCAGTCATGGTTCTCCCCACTGTAGAGGTACAAGTGTGGGCCATCCGGGACGAACTGTTCTGCCAGCATCCCTGCACGGACACGCAAGAGCACGCCGTTTCTGATGGTTTATACACAATGACGGTTGATGCTACTCATTGCTGCGGGGGTGGGTGGTTCCTCAAGCACGAGCTGATGGTTTTGCATTAGGGAGAAAGGGATGGATATAAAAATCAGGCCTGCCTGTATTAATGGGAGCTCAGCTGTGGGAGGGGATACAAGACTTGGTCTTTTCGCATCAAACTCTATTAGAGATCAAGACAAGAGAACATCAAGGACGCATCCTTCCACATATGGACCGGTTTCTCTGGAGTAAGGGCTCCAGTACAGTCATCGCTATAGGCTGGGAAGTTACCAGCATAGCTAGTAAAATAAAAGCCTTACCTATTAGAGCAAAGATGATTTTGATTCCCCCTTCGATGGCATCCACACGCTGGAAACAATAAATCCTGTGGGATTTCTTATTTACTTTCTGGCTGAGATACTGCAGTGGGTATTTCACAGACCACCAGAGCCCAAAGAGCAGGAAGAAACTGCCTGGAAGCGCGTGACCCTTGAAGTTTGCCATCCTGGCAACGTCCTTTGACTACAAGGCAAAGAAAACCAATGTTCTTATACAACTTAGACCAGTTATTTGACATAACGCTGGGAAAAATGGAGGGTTTGTTCCTTTGGCCTTTCAAGGAGGACTGGAAAGAGCAAATGGGAATAGGATGGAGCACTGGGAAAGCTTTCAAGGGAACATCTAGGACCCCTCTGAGGTCCTTGCCTCAAGATTAGGTAAATGTCAAAAAAAGCTGAAGCCCAGACTGGTTTAGCAGAGGCCCCATATCTGCTGCAATCTCTGACCCATCCCAGCCTGAGCTTTGCATCCCTTGGGATCCCTCCCAGCAGTAGCTCCTGCTTTTCCTACCCTTCTGCAGGTACAAGCGAGAAGATCTGCTGAGGACCAGGGCAAGGTGGGCTATTCAGGATCAGGCAGGAGAGAAAATACGCAGGAAATACAGCAAGTTCTAGGGGTAAATAGCCATGGGTTTCCTTAGCTCCTTGAACAGCCACAGATGTCCAGCTATGTCCAAAAATTTTTTAAATTCCTGGAATTTTTTCAGCCTGTGGAAGGGGAAAAAACCCCACCCCACATCTATTTCGCAAAGCCAAAGCATTTGTGTCAAAATATAGCTTCAAAAATACCCCAAAAGCTGCTGGAAAACAAAACATTTTGGTTCTGGGCAAAGAAACCAACTGGCTCCCTGCATCACCACCTCCTCCCACCCCGTCTCCTCTCTCCGGAGCATCACTAAGCTTGAGCATCCCTGCCCCTTTGTGCCGGAGCGCACACATGTGCACCATTTGTAGGAGAGCCAGGGGACCCGTTTCCTAGGAGAATTACAGCAATTAAAACCCAGCCGGCTCCTGTTTGCCATTTGCTGGTTTGCTTAATTAGGTGGAGAAACGATTAGCTCTTTGATGTGGGCTCGAGCATATGTTTGGGGGCCTGCCTTGGCGCAATCGCAGGTTGGTTGTGTCAGGCTGGTCAATTAGGATTTTTTTTAATTGATAGCAAAGGCTGCGCCACCGGTGCCCAGGACTTCCTCCTCCATTTAGTAACGCTCCTCTCTGCGCCAAGCTGAGCTTAATGCCGGGCAGAAACCAGCTCTCTCGTGGCGTGGATGCCGTCCATCCACATAGCAAGGGGCTGCGTAGTTTGGCGCTGGACCTGACCTCCCCATCCCAGACCTGGTTATGCTTAAACCACCTTCCCCGGCTGCATTTTGGGCTTCAGTCCCCACCAGCTGGTATTATAAGCAACAAAAAAATGTTCTTATTCTGCATAAAGGATAATTTGAGGTTGCACATGGCTTGCTGCTGCCAGCCTTTGGGAGGGGAGAGCGGTTGCTTTGGCTTAATTAATACCTGATTGCAGGTCAGTTTGTCCCCAGGACAGCTTGTTTCATCCCGTTAAGTCCCTGCCCCCAGAGCTCGGCTGTGTGCAGATCCCACCTCCCCGAGGCAGCTGTCCCGGGGCGAGAAAATCCACCAGATTAGATCAGACCTACTAAAACCCTGTAGCCAACCTGTCCGATTTGAACTGGTTTAACCAAACCAGCTAATCCAACCCCTCGAGGTAAGCAAACGTCGCCTCGTTGTGCAAACATGACCCCGGTGCATGCAGCTACGTGCAGCAGCAGACACGGCTGACGTCCCTGCGTCTTGCACCACACTGGTCCCACAGTATTCACCAAATACCTGTAAGCTGTCACGGTGGGTTTCATGCAAACAAATTTAGGAGGGGATTTAATCCAAGGGTGGAATAGCTGTGCATGGAAATATTATTTTCTACCGTATTGGCTAGCAGCTTTGCAGGCAGCTGTTAGCAGCACTGCAAGGCTCTGCCTTATTTCCTGACTTAAAAGGAGAGATTTATTGCCAGTGGGTGCATTGGGTAATTAAACACGAAATCAAAGCACAAAATCAAAGCAAGACGCCGTTTACCAGCAACGCTAGCACAGTCCAGCGCGTTAATACAATAGTCTCTTCGGTCCTTTGAGAGAGACAACCGGGGAATCAGAGCACCCACCTGTATCCCTGTGATTACAGGAGCAGCATACCTGAGCCAGGGAGATGGCTGAAAAATCTGTATTTTCTGGGTGAGCAGACAATCTTGTCACGTACATGCAATGGTATAATATCAGGATAATGACCGAAAGCAGAACTAAACCCATCCCGGAACACCACAACAAGAAGTCCTGCAGCCATATTGTGCCACGTTAATGCTATGGCACTACCACAGCAATATATAGTCAAATATATAACTCCATGACCTAGCTCCAGCAGTTACGTTTTAAAAGCAGCTATTTAATGAGACCTGATGGGTTCCCACATGAGATCGATGCAGTCAAAACGGAATGACCTAAACGATACACCGATCAAGCAAAGTGGGGAAAGTTAAAGGTCGCTTAGAAGGAATACACACAACCTGGCTGGCCAGCACGTCCACCTCATAGCATTTACGTGAGCTGGGGCGAGCTCGGCAGGGCGACGGGGACTGTTTCGGGGTTGCTGCCGTTCGTACCTGCCCGATTGCTCACTAGCAGGAAGCAGGGTGGCTTATCTGGGATGCGTGACCAACAAAACTATTTCTCCTGCTTCTCTTCCTCCTCTGAAAACATGCAAAAGGTGAGCACGGGAGGGAGGGCGGGGGGAAGAAAAACAATTATGTTTTCAACTCTGAGTGCCCTGGAGCAAACAGCTCTCCTTTATCCCTACGGCTCCAAACACAGTGAGACTTTGCCTGCAATCATCCACGTTGGGGGAAAGAAGAAGCTGAAGGTCCAGCTGATGTTGGGGTTGGCAGCAACCACCACCATTGCAGGACATCCCTGCAAAACATGACTCTGCCCCGCTCCTCCCTCGTTGCCTAGCCTGCACATTTGATAACGCACCCACGTCCCTGCTGGCTTGTAATTAATGCACTTCTGCTCCCTGTTTATTACAATGCCATGCGCTGCGCCGGCTTAATGATTTACTGTTTCATCTGCTCTTATCACTTCCCAAGGGAGCTGGTCCCTTCTTGGTTTATAGCTAATGCACCCAACCACCCAGGCAGGCGTCTGGAGCAGCAGGGAGGATGGCAAGGAGCCCGACTGGGCTTTCGCCTCCTCCTCTTGCCCTACCCTGGCAGCCACAGATAATTTCTTTTCACCCAAACCCTGGGCCCCTTGAGTTTTCCAAAGGTCTCGTTTGCTTTACCGAGTTTGTTTTTGTAAAGATTTTATTAGTGCATCGATAATGTCTCAGTCAGGGCATCACTTCCATTTTCCCCAGCTTGGAAATTACGGTCTGAAGTTCACCGTTGGAAACAGCTCACAGCCATCACCCCTGCAATTAATGTTGCCCTTCGACCTCTGCAAATCAGGCAGTTCAGACACACCAGAGCTGGTTTGCTCACCGTGGGACCTGCCGCCCAGCTCTCAGAACGTCTGTGGGTGACCGGGACGGTCCCTGGGGAAAGGCTGACTCAGTGAAGAAGAGAAATGTCTTGGCTTGCAAAAAAAAAGGTTGAGCTGAAGCTGAGCTGGGGAATGCCACTGAGGTGTGTATCTGGAAAGAACGACACTATTTCCAACCCTCTCGAGGTGGTTTGGGTCTCCCTTGTGCTGAATCTGAGACTGCCGGAGAGCATCGAACCCAGACCGACAGCAGCTGAGGTGCTTCGGCCAAAACTACATCCTCCACCAGCCCATTCCCTACCCCGCACGCTTTCCGTGTGTGTCACACCTTCCTCCGAACACCACGTAACCCCACAGCCCAAACACTCTGCCTGGGAGGTGGGGAGGGCAGGCAACGGTCCATCAATGGGGTGACTGGAGAAGAAGCCATGGAGGTGAGATAACTGTGCCTCTGCGGAGGAGAGACACCCAAGAGATGTCAGGAGAGGCATCGCCTACAAATACAAGCTCTCCTGTTGCCCGCTGCCTGCCTGCGCTGCCTCACTCCATTACCAGCACTGTCTTATTTGTCTGCAGCAGCACTTCTAATCATAGCAGCACTTCCATTAGCTCCCCTAGGAGCTGGATCCCTAATGCATTAACGTCAGACTAAAACCCCACTCTGAACCATTTCATCCCATTATCGGCAGTTTTTCTTCTATCTCTGCCTGTATCTGCATGGGGGAGCGTTAACGGTGACACCGAGCAATCATGTTATTTGTTACTAATACTCGTGAGCCCAGCCGCGGCTGCAAAACCAGGAAAGCAACTTTTCTGCCTCTAAAGGATCCTTAGGGCTTTTACTCTTAGGTTAAAAATTATCATCATCATTGGAACCTATTAGGCTCAATTGCCGGGGAATATCTGAAGGGCCATCAGGTGCGGCAGGAGCTTGTACAGCGGCTGCTGATAGACGCACGAGACAGACTGAGCTAATCCAAAAACAAAGGCTCGCTGCGGCGGGAAAATTCAACGTGAAAGTTCAAACTGGGATGAAAGCTTCAAATTTGGGATGCTGGACCTGAGGTCTATTTAATAGACACAATGGACCCACCTGAAAAGAGACACTAGGGGAGAGAAAGACCGAAAAGCCGGTGATGGAGAGGTTATATTGCTCTCTGCCTGCTACTGCTCTTCCTTACGCTGCCTCTTCTTGCCTTCTGTTTTATACGCCCCTGCTTTGGGCTCACCATCCCTACCCCTGTCCTGAGCCCCGCCAGCAGGGAAGCAGCAAGAACTCAGCTCTGAGTTGCAGCCCAGCAGAGAGAGCTGAGAAATAAAACAAATTACTCAAAGCCATCTTAATTACAGGGGCTCAGAGTGGGCACTTCGTCATCCTTTTGCTTCTCTTTACAACCCGCGTTTGTTTATTTGTGGTTTTAAGGCAACGGAGGCCTGACTTTAAAAATGATCTGTTTTGGGAAATGCACACTACCATCCTAAAAGCCATTTTTCTTCACCTCTGCGTGACGCCTAAGAGATTAAAGTGCTTTCTAAAGGTGGTGGCTACCACAGGACTCAGCGAGCCAAGGTCTGTGCACCGAGCTGCCTCTCCAGCTCTGCGATGATGGAATAGCCCTGACTCCACCAACCCCT